ATTGAGAGTAGTGAATGAAATCCTCTTATTAGTAGTGCATTTACCCATTTATCTTTGCAACTCCTGCAGTTTCTTTTTTTTTAAAGGGAATTGATGTGTTTACGTTTGTGACTATTATATCTTCATTATAAATGATATCTTTTAGCATTAGGACGTGCCCTTTATGTGATCTTTAATACTTTTTAGTTTGGATTCTACTTTGACATTAGGATTGTAATCCTTTTCTTGTGGTTAATAAAACAAAATATTGTCTTTGTCCATGCTTAGTTTTAGCCTTTCTATATCACTATTTTAGTGTATTTTGAATACAATATATGATTAAGACGTTTAACTCTGTCACACCATTTTGTTATAATTATGATGTGTATCCTTTGTCTTTCATTTTTTAGCTCTTTTCATAATTAAAAAACATTTATATATTTGTATTCTATCTTTGTTTATGACTGTGGCCCTCTATTTTGTTATTTATCCTTTTACTATCTGCTGCGTCTTTTTTATTTTTTATTTTTTTTAAGATTTTATTTATTTATTTTAGAGAGAGAGAGGAAGGTGGCGGAGGGAGAGGGAGAGAGAGAAGCTCAAGCAGCTTGTGCTGAGCATGGACCCCGATGTGGGGCTCAATCTCAGGACCCTGAGATCATGACCTGAGCAGAAACCAAGAGTCAGACACTTAACTGACTGAGCCACCCAGGCACCCCTGCTGTGTCTATTTTAATGATATCCTTTATCTTTCACCTATACCCGAATAACAATACATGAGCTTATTCTTTTTTTCTCTTTTCCTTTCTTTTCTCTTCCCATTTTTTTAGTTTTTTAGTTTTGTTATTTCTGTGTTCTGTGTTATAATGTGTTTTACCACTCCCCATGTTCATTAGTGCCCCATGTTCTTATTTCCCTCCTTACTATCATTAAGATCATTCTGCTGCAGCATACCTCAACTCCCTTGCTCCTCTCTTCCTTCACTGAAATCATTTGGTTTATCAGTTTCCTATTGCTCCTATAGCAAATTGCTAAAACTTAGTGGCTAACAACAACACAAATTTATTCTCTTACAGTTCTGGAGATCTGGAATCTACAACTGGTGTCACAGGTCTGAAATCAAGGTGTCAGCAGAGCTGATTCCTGCTGGAGGTTCCAGGGGAAAATCCATTCCTTGCTTGTTCTATCTTCTAGAGATGTGTTTCCTTGGCTCCTAGCTGCATCACTCCAACCTCTGCTTGCATCTTCACATTGCCTTCTCCCCGCTCTGATCTCCTGACCCTCTCTTATAAGGAATCCTGTGATTATATCAGGCATATTTGGGTAATATGGATAATCCCCCCATCTCATTTGTGCAAAATCCTCTTTTTAGTTTAATCATATGTGCAAAATTCCTTTTGTCATATAAAGTAGCATTCATATGTTCCAGGAATTAGGACATGGACATCTTTGGGGGCAGCGGTGTTATTCAGCCTACCACACTTGTAAAATTTACACCTCCAACCTTAAAGATAACCAGTTCTTGATCTATTCTGTGTCTCCACTAAAGTAATTGAATATGGCTATGAAATAACAAGCAACCATGCTGTTAAGTCTCACTTTCAGTATAAGCTTACAAACCTCAAGTGGGCCCTAGAGACTAACCAAAATCCTAACAATATCTCTATTTAATTCACTTCTCTACTCTAAAAGGTGACAACTTCAGTAATAATCCTTTAAAGCTTCTACTAATCCTTTCTATTTCTTATCATCAACAGTGCCCTAAGAACTTATTTCATGGGAAAAAAAAATAATAACCTATCAGAAGAAAACATCCACATTCTCCCACTGCCAAACCTACCTTCACGTGTTCCCATATCACTCTGCATCCCCTTCTGGGACAATGGATAGACAACCAGTATTCCATTAAGATCTTCCTATTTGTGCACTCATCTTACCTATCTGAGAATTCTTTCATGAAAATAGCTCCAGTTTCCTCTATTTCCTCAGATCATTTCTCTCTGGATCATTTCCATAAGCTTGCAAACATGCTATCATACCTTTCAATTGACGAAAATGTTGCTCATGACTCCACAGCCACTTAAACCTCCATCACATTACTTAGCATTCTCAAAAGAGTTATTTTTACTTAGTGTCTCTCCTCTCTATTATTCTTATTCTGTCCCAATTAAAATTCCATTCCCATAAATCCAACAAACATGTTTACATCAAGATTATCAATGACATATACGTTGCTAAATCCAATGGTCAGTTCTTAGTCCTCCTCTTACTTTACCTCTCAACAACATTTACATACGTGACCCTTCTTCTTCAAATACATGTATTTTTAGCTTGAGTGACAAAAAAAAATGATCTAATTTTTTCTTGCCTTTCTAATGATTCTTAAATTCTTTGCTAGATGCCTCATCCTCTTCTCAAACTTAATGTTGGAGTGCTCCAAGACTTGTCTTTACATTTACTTTCCTCCTCTTGCTAGACTTTCTTTCTTGCTAAGCTCACCCATTCTTGTGATTGTAAGCATATGCTGATGATTCCCAGAATGGATTCTCTAACCGAAAACTTTCCTCTGAACTCCACTTGCATATTTAATTGACTACTTAACCTGCTCTTGGAAGTCTAGATACACCTTGAATTTATTATATATAAACCTGATCCTTTATTTCCCATGCTTTATTTCCCCTTTAGTAAAACCTGTTCATCCTAAGAAATTCATTCTCATTGAGTTACTATAGCTAAAGTCTTGCAAGACATCTTTGCTTTTCTCTTTTCTTTATATTACACATCCAATTCTGTTATTGCTACCTCCAAATAGTTTATGAATTAGACCACTTCTCAACTTAGTTTGTGTAAAGGTGGCCTCTACACATAAGTGCCACTGCTAAATATATAAGACCAAGTCATTCTATCTCTCAGACTACTGCTGTTCTCTTTAATTCATTACCATGCAGTAACTAAAAAAAAAAAAAAAAAAAAAAAGATTGTTTCAAAACTCTCTGAAACCCTTTTATGTCTTCCATTGTAATTAAAATTAAATTCAAATTATTTACCCTGGTATAACAGGTAATAAATGACCAGATTCTTGCCTACCTGTCTAACATCATCTGCCTCATTTCTTCCTGTCCCATAAATATCCTGGCATACAGTGAGTTTGTTAATGGTAAACATAAAAAAGTCTAGTCTCCGATAGCTGCTTGTGAATTTTGATATTAATCTACTGATTCAACTTTAGTAATTACATTGTATAAACTCTGTATCTTCATTTATTTTTATCTACTTTAAATTAAAAAAATAAAGAGGTATAGTAAAGTCTCCCACAATTATTATTTCTGTGTATTAATACTATGATATTTTGCTTAATATGTTGTTGCTTGATTATTCAGGACAAAGGGTTAATGATTATTCTTTTTGTGACATCTGTGACAATGTAAATTGAGTCTTTTATCATATTTAATTTTGTTTTCTTGTATTATAGTCAGTCTTACTTAATTCCTGAGTCCTTTTATATATATATTTTTTAAGATTTTATTTATTTATTTGACACAGAGACACAGCAAGAGAGGGAACACAAGCAGGGGGAGTAGAAGAGGGAGAAGCAGGCTTCCCGCAGAGCAGGTAGCCTGATGCGGGGCTCGATCCCAGGACCCTGGGATCATGACCTGAGCTGAAGGCAGACGCTTAACAACTGAGCCACCCAGGCGCCCCTATATTTGGTTTTGCTTTTGTATTTACTTAATATGTTTTTATCAATTTTTAATGTTTAATCTTTGTGTACCATTTGTTTTATATGGATTTCTCAAAGTTACTATGAGATTAAAGCTTGTTATTTCAAATTACATATTATTTAACTTTTAAAAAAGAGTTTAAAATTCATTTACATTTTGATAATTTTTATCTTCAATCTTTTCTCTATTTTATGATCTTTGTGTCTTATGTTTCTTTACATTTCTTCTTTAATTTTTTTCTTTTACTCTGTAGGCCAAATTTGTTACCCTATTTTATAACGTGGGGGTCTGCCAATCAGATGGGGGGGGCCACTAAATGTGGGGCAATCCAATTAGGTGGAGGCCAGCAGTGCAGGCAGTGAAAGAATTCAATCAAGGTAGAAAAAAGGAGATAGAAGGTTATTGAACACACCACAAGGGAGCAGTGAGCAGGACAGTAAGAGAAAGACTGCCAGCAGGTAGTAGGGGCCGGGGTAGCTGTAGTTAAGGGAGAAGGTGAGGAGGTATGAGAACTATAGAATTTTCCTTTTTTTGGTACCTCTGTCTGGGTGTAAGTAATCCATTGGTCAGTTAGGGCTTATGGATATTTTGAGATGGGTCACCTAATGGCCTGGTTTGTATTCAGCCAGGGGGCCACTGTGGGCCCTTCTACCTTACTCAGGTCTCTTTTGTTCAAGTTGATTGCGTAAAAGTGGCATCTACATATAAGGCCATGAATGATCAGATTATCACTTACTCTAGCTTCATCTTCATTTCCTCCTTGCTCATCTTTATGTTATTTTTGCATTTGTATTGCTTATACATACTTTTGTAGAAGGAAGATGTCCTGTTTCTAGTTTAGGAGATTCATCAAAATATTATGTAGCCAATTTTTTTTTCAAAATATCACATATCATATTTTTTCAAAATATCAAAACATTAAAAATTTCATCTTTCAAGTTCCCTCCGTGTGGTTAAGGAATTAGAAGAAACCAACAGCAAAGTCCCCATTCTTTCACTTTAAGATCAAGCTCTCATTCAATTTGAATACATCTTCAAGTAATTTTTTAAACAGCTAGTATATTTTATGTGTTCTTGCATTTCTGAGAATGTCTGTTGCATTCACATGAAAGACAAGTTTTCTGGGTAAAATAATTTTAGGACAAAATTATATATGTGTTCCATTATATTCTGGTCATAAGCTTTAAAGAGAGGATGTGTGAGCTTTTCCCAAGTTCACCTGGCCCAAGGGCTGGACTACGGGTCTTCTTGCAGCCATGGCAGCTCCAGAGCAGTGTAGGAATTGCGTCAGCCAAAGTCATGGCAGGACAGGCATTTAGAAAGTTTCTTCCCCTCTTTGACCGAGTTTTAGTTAAAAGGAGTGCAGCTGAAACTGTAACCAAAGGAAGCATTATGCTTCCAGAAAAATCTCAAGGAAAAGTATTGCAAGCAACAGTAAAAGCTGGTGGATCGGGCCCTAAAGGAAAGGGTGGAGAGATTCAACCACTTTGTGTGAAAGTTGGAGATAAAGTTCTCTCAGAATATGGAGGCACCAAAGTAGTTCTAGATGACATGGATTATTTCTTAGAGAGGGTGACATTCTCAGAAAGTATGTAGACTGAAATAAATCATTATTGAAATGACACGAAATGAACCTGCCCATTCCAGTGAAGTTGTGAAATCTTTCATGTAAATAATTTTCATGTCTCTTTTTTTATAAGCTAATGGTATCCAAACTAAAATAAAAATAAAAAATAAAAATAAAGAGAGGATGTGTGAGACCAATCTAACTTCTTTCCTCAGTAATGTTCTTTTTTTTTCACACTCTAAAACCAATGGATTTTATTCTCTACGCTTATAATCCAAATATTTGTCAGATATATCTAATTCGTGGCTTTTTATTGATTTTTGCCTAGAGCAAGGTAAGCTTTTCAATCTTGATGGTCAGATCTTTTTTCAGCTTATGAATACTTTCTTCAATATTGGATATTATCATTTCCTCTGTTCAATTTTATTGTTCTCAAGTACACAGTTGTTTTTAAAAATGAATCAAGAAGCTTTTCCCTCCATATTGATCATATTCTTTGTCATTGTTTTTTCTCTTCAACCTTTTCTACTTCATCTAAGAGTGTTTCTCAAGTTTGATCTTTGCATCTGTCATGTTTCATAGTAACAATTCTCTCCTCAGGGTCATCATTGTGGATTTTTACTTTGCTGCTACATTTTTATTCTTTAATCCTTTCTTGGGCCGTCCACTTCTCAATTTAATCTTATGATATTTTTATTTCTGAATGTACTCTTTTAATGACTTTTTCCTATTTCATAGCTGGAATGACTTGTATACAGTGGATAATAAGTATATTTTCTGAGATTTTCTTCAAGTTTCTTAAAAAAATATTGAAACTATGTCTTCCTTTTTCATAAACATGATTTTCCCTTTATCTGGTTCAGCAGTATTATATTATAGCTATAAATTGTGTGTGTATGTATCTACAGACACACATAAACACACATACACATATATATCCTCCTTCTACTCTTGCTCCTTTTCTTTCTCTCCTTCCCCTCTTAACTCATTCTCGAGGGAGTTAGATCTATTTATATTCTGTTTTAAGGACAAGCAGTGTGTATAGTCTTTACCCTATTTAGCTGTCCATTTGGGTGCTGATCTGCTAGTTCAATACTTGCTTTTTGATATTCATCTGGTTCTCTTCTGCTGAATTTATAAGTAACTTATCCTTTGATACTTTGAGCTGAGTATGTGAAAACATACAATGTCTAGAATGCTTTGCTCCTCTTGTTCAATATATTCCACTACCAGGTCTTGCTTGGGAGAATTTAACCTCTCATAAAGAAGCCCAATCCTGACAGCCCTTCTCTACCGAAGGCCCTATTGTGTTCTGGATGTTATCGAATCTGAAGCCTATAAAAAAAGCAGTGAAAGGGGAAACTTGTGAAAGACAGCAGTACTTAGGCCCAATAAAAATATGAAAATAGCACAGTAAAATTATGGCTGTCCAAATTTGTATTTGGTACAGCTTGAGGTAAATAGTCACCCCAGGTATCTATTGAAATGGGCACTTTTTAAAAATTAACCTTGGGTTCCTGTAGGAATTTTCTTCATTCAGTTGTTTCATAGCTCTTGTGTATCTACTCCCCTAAGCCTTTACTGGATTTATGAAACATTTGTGCTATTCTGGGTTCAGCTAGACATGGTTTTCACACTGTTCTACCAGATTCATTAGGGAGTAGTCATCATATGGTCAATGTATAAGCATGTAGAGATCACATCAAAACCATGCCCAGCTGAAATTTCAGAAACCATAAGTTAGCATCATATTAAGATAGAGAAGAAAAAATACTATGCTGCCCACCATTTTTTCAGTTCTTACTATGTGACAATTCACTCAGTCATTCATTTCTCAATAGTTTGCTGAGAAACTATTTTATGCCAGACATTTTTTGTACTAGGGAAATAATGGTGATAAAAAATACAATTCTTGGGGTGCCTGGGTGGCTCAGTCAGTTAAGTGTCTGCCTTCGGCTCAGGCCATGATCTTGGGATCCTGGGATCGAGCCCCATGTTGGTCTCCCTGCTCAGCGGGGAGCCTGCTTCCTCCCTCTCTCTCTGCTGCTCCCCCTGATTGTGCTCTCTCACTCTCACTCCCTCTCAAATAAAAAAACTTATAAAATCTTTAAAAAAATACAATTCTTTACTGAGTTTATAGTATAGACAGTCATTAACCAAATAATCATACTAATGAATATTAAATTAGTAAAATAGGGGTGCCTGGGTGGCTCAGTTGGTTGAGCGACTGCCTTCGGCTCAGGTCATGATCCTGGAGTCCCTGGATTGAGTCCCACATCGGGCTCCCTGCTCGGCAGGGAGTCTGCTTCTCCCTCTGACCCTCCTCCCTCTCATGCTCTCTGTCTCTCATTCTCTTTCTCGCAAATAAAAAAATAAATAAATAAATAAATTAGTAAAATAAGTACTTTGAATAAATGTTTCATAAAGTACCAAGGCAGGGAATGTGGTGGTAGGTAGGGTCAGAAAATACATTCCTAAGGAAATCTCCCTTTGATCTGAAATTTGAAGGAAGAGTAGAGATTACCTAGATTAATCCCATATAGAAGAGAAATACAATCACAGGGAGCTGAACGTGCAAAGGCCCGATCAGTGCAAAGCATTGTTCTAAGTGCTTATTTGCACAGCTTTTTCAAAGCTCATTTTCAGTGTGGTAAAGTCATATTTTGCTTTTCCACTGTAGGTATTTGGGGAGAAACTGGGAGTGACTGTGTTATGGTCTACTAAATGAACACAAATTTTCTAGTCAGGTTTCTAATTTTAATATAATTCTACATAATATAGCAATGTCTTAAATACAGTTGAATGCACATTGCATAAGCATCTGTAATCCTGAGAAGTGTTTTGCCTTTCAGAGCAAGCACATATAGGTTTAATAATTTTTTTTAAAATATTTTATTTATTTATTTGAGACAGAGAGAATGAGAGAGAGAGAGCACATGAGAGAGGGGAGGGTCAGAGGGAGAAGCAGGCTCCCCGCCGAGCAGGGAGCCCGATGCAGGACTCGATCCAGGGACTCCAGGATCATGACCTGAGCCGAACGCAGTCATTTAATCAACTGAGCCACCCAGGCGCCCAGGTTTAATAATTTTTACATCCTAAGGCAGTTTTAGTTCTCCTGTTAGTTTTCTTTGGATGGTGGAAAACAAACTGGTATTAGGGAAAACTTATTTACAAAAGTAACTTAGTTTTAAGAAAATCTTTATCCCAGGCTTTCAGCCTAAAACTAATAGAGAGAAACCCAAGTTAAAAAGATGTTTAATTCAACCAAACCTAGATAAATTTACATTCTAATTCTACAGAGCCAATCAACTTGATGGTATATAACCAGATCCCCAATCAACTTGATGGTATATAACCAGATCCCCAATCAACCTGATGGTATATAACCAAGATCAAAACTTTCACATTGGGCGCCTGGGTGGCTCAGTTGGTTAAGCGACTGCCTCCGGCTCAGGTCATGATCCCAGGGTCCTGGGATCGAGTCCCACATCGGGCTTCCGGCTCAGCAGGAGGCCTGCTTCTCCCTCTCCCACTCCCCCTGCTTGTGTTCCTGTTCTCACTGTCTCTGTCTCTGTCAAATAAATAAATAAAATCTTAAAAAAAAAAAAAAAAACTTTCACATTTAGTTTCACAAGTAATGTAGAATTTCAGTGATTAAAGTTCATATGCCACACTCAGGTTAGCCTTTGCAAACACTTATGTACTCAGGGAAGCCAGGATTGATAATACCCAAACAAATTTAAATGGATTTTCATTGAATTCAATGTTTATGTTTTGAGGAGGGACTTAGTGAATTTAAAGTGAGGCCCCAGCATAGACAATAAGATTTAATGATGCAGAACCCAAAACATAATTACTCTCAACTAGAGAGTAATAATGGATGTTCATCTATACAAATTCCTCTAAAAAAAGAGAAAGAGCAAAGTTGCACAAAATAAAATCTCATATTTATCACATGTCCATACTCTTGGCCACAGCTTCCCTTATTTTACAAGGCTTTAGTTGTGTGTGTAAGTATGTGCTGGGAGAGGTGTTGGGGAGTGAGGAGTCAGCTACCATGACAATGGTTGTGACAAAAAACTCTGGGGACATGGTCGTTCCCAGTACTCAACTCTGACCCTCAACCACACTGGGACTTGATGGCCAAGTCTAATCAGAGCTGTGGAATAGAGGCAGAAAATCAAGTTCAGAAGTCCAGAAGTCTGATTTAAGTTCCACTTCATGATGTATTCCTAGTGGTATGAGTTATGAAAAATTACTTTTCTCTCTGAATCTCAGTATCTCCTCTGTAAATTGGGGATAAAATTGATGTCTACTCAATCTTTTTCATACAAATTTCATGAGCATCACATGAGATCATTGATGTGAAAGTACTTGGTTGATGGCCATATGTCACACAATTATTTGTTTAATCATTAAATATGTATGGTTGCCTCTACTGTACCTTTGACTCTTTGATGCTCTGGAAGGTTTATGAATATTGTGAGGAAAAGAAGAAACATGGTTTCCAGGTACACATTCATAATTTAAATAATCTTTCTAATTTCTAGACTTATTCAGACTTATTTAATATGCATTTTATGTGGTAACATCTTAACAGCAAAACAACATTGCAAACCTCCTCAGAACAATTTTATCTTTTTTTTTTCAAAGATTTTATTTATTTATTTGAGAGAGAGAATGAGAGAGAGAGAGAGAGCGCACAAGAGGGGGAGAGGGGGAGAGGGAGAAGCAGACTCCCCACTGAGCAGGGAGCCCAACACGGGACTCAATCCCGGGACTCCAGGACCACGACCTGAGCCGAAGGCAGCCACTCAACCAACTGAGCCACCCAGGCACCCTTATCTTTTTTTTTTAATTTTCTATTGAAGACTACATAAATAAAGTGCTTAATGCCATCCTATTGATGGAATCATTTAAATATACATTATCAATTTGGTATTTATAATTAAAGTTTTCTGAATCTAACAGGTAGTATATCAGGGATGCATTTCTATACACTTGGAAACATATATTTGTAAGGAATTTA